GGCGGGTTTGGCTCCAGCCTGCAGGATCGCTTTTAAGTAGGACCCCAGCCCCCGCTACTTTGCGTACTCGGCTTCTGATACCCGTATAGCATTTCACTAAAATCTCTTGGGATTTGTCTGCCCTCACAGGAAGGGCTTCAGCCCTTAAACTTCTGGCTTGTTTTCTTCCATTGTAACTGATCTCCAGCAAGTGCAGAATGAGGTAGGGTCGTTGGTGTTACTACTGTAGCCATTTTGCTCACCAGCAGTGCGGTTTTTATTTTAAACGGAACGTGGAATTGCTAGAGACAGAATTCGCATTGTCCGGACTACTTTTTTCGCACGCAAATTGGACTAACTATGGTTATAATTAACATGGGATTTACTTGTGCTGCTGGAGTTGCCCAAGCCCTGCCTATTCTGTTGCAAAGACAGAGACAACAGGCGTGGGAGCTAGTACTGGGAACTTAACTCTTTTCGTCAGTACACCTCAAAGTACGTTTCTGAGACAGTCAGTGGTAGTATTCCACAAGACATGGAAAGTGAGGGGAAGATACTCCCCAGCAGGACAAAAGCAGGTCTTGAAATGTCACCCAGCTTTGCAGGTGCCTGTAGACATGCTATCTCTCTGCAGTCAACCCTTTAAAATCAATTTGTACACTGTTGCTGCAGGAAGGAGGACGTAGTAGAAGCACAGAAAGGGCATTCCCTTGTGTATGTACAGGAAACCAGTATCTATATTATATCTATTGTAAGCGTTTGGGCCGAATAGCACAGTTCCACTTGGGCTCCATCATATCCATCTTGCTGGATGATACAGCTTTTACTTGTGATCCAGTGCCTGCTGGGACAGGATGTCTGGCAGTCTCCAGATAAATGTTAAACTAAAGTAGGGGTTTGTGGTAAGGACAAGATGATGCCGCCATTGGATGCGTTGGAATAATTTTCAATGGGATTCATATTTGAAAGACATGTAACACTTGTTGCCTTGAGTTATGCACATATCTAATATTTGCAGTGTCAGGTTGAGCTTGAAAGTTGCACAGTAAGTTTGAAGAAAAAAAAATGCCCTCTCTCATTTATACACCCTTTAACACCTCTAGTTATCTACATGGAAAGCTTCTATTTCACTTACCTGCCCCTTTTCCCACATGCTGCTCAGCTATGGTGTGTCTCTTACTGCTAACAGTAAAATGAAGCTGCACAGATGCAGTTTTTTGTCCTGTTGCTCCTTATTTAGGACTGTAGTGTGAAAGCCGCTGGAAATGAGTATTTTGTAAATGGGAGGTGGGTACTTGAGAAAATTTATTTTTCACCTTCAAGAAAATAGCTCTTCTTAAAGCAGAATTTGCAAGATACTCTTTTTAATAAAAAGATTAATTTTAACCCTAAATCTGTATGGTGATGTCCCCAGTAGGAATCCAGGACACTGAACAAACATTGAACAAACTAGACAAATGTTAACATTCATTTTCATTTTGCATGACTACTGCAATATAAAATTACAGTCTTCCCACCTCAGCTGATGTCACCACGGGGGGATGGTTGCCAATGGGCCAAAGCCAGACAGCCAGCAATCATATGGTCTGGATTTATCTTTCTGTATCTGGCGGCAAAAAGAATATAGCAATGCAGATCTTGAGTTAAGTCTTGCTAAAACAGTGGTGGTGTTTTCAGAAAAAAAGATAACAAGCATGGTGCAAAACAACATACATCTGCATGCTTACTGGTTTGTGTACATAGATCTATAATACCAAGAATGGGAAGTGCATTAAGAGATCTCCAGTGTGCTTTGCAAAGTGAGATTAGTGATGGTATTCCCTAACAGTCCTGCACTTCATAAAAAGGCCTGAGCTACACTCTTTACTGCACATTAAATAAACTGGGTTTTGTTGATTTCAGTGCCATTTCTAATTTCTTTCCTCCTAGGAGAAATGCAGCCCCTTAGATCTCTTTTCCCCCTCCTAGAGCTATATGTTATAGAGAGGTGTCAGTAGCTGCTGCAGAAAGGAAGGGTACAGCTTTGAAAAGAATCAGCCTCAAAAGAAATAAAACACTGGTCCAAATTACTAGGGATGCTTTGAAGAATGGATCATTTTTCAAATCACTGGGACATGCAGGGGAAAAAGAGGAGACTGCCAAGCTGACAGACAGACGAAGTGACACAAGACAACTGCTCTGAATATGGTTAGTCCCAATTGAGACAAAATTCCTCTCGCAGTTGTCAAAAACTGTTCCAAAAGGCAAGGTACCAACAACCTGGTGACTCCAGTGAAATTACTTTCCAAAACCAGTGTCCTTTATTTTGGTCATTTCCCTTCTTTACATTCATTCTGTTGTGGTTTTTTTTTTTCCCTCTGCAGCCACCGCCATTTTCCTATGTGGGATTTAGCCTCCAAATTACTTCCACCCTCCATACATGCACCCTTTGAATGTGTGTCCCTGGCTTAACTGCTAGTGGAGGGGCAGCTGCTTGCAGCCCTGGCTCTCCTCACCTCCACCCACGTGGGGACTGGGCAGAAGGCCCGGCAGTGGTGGTACCAACAAAACTTGCCCCTCCAAGGCACCAGAACAGAGGGATCTGCATGGCAGCGTGTGGATCCCCGGAACTAACCAAGTCAGAAGGAAGAGGCACACAGGAAAGGTTGCTTTGCTTTCCAATCCTTGCTGCCTCAGCTTTTGGCATTCTGCTTCCCAGTCCCGCAGACAAGACAAGCGAGGCATCCTCTGTTACCATGACTCATTCTCAGCGCACACACCAATGCCACAGGACCTTTCTGGGGCACTCAGGTCACTCTTAGGAATTAAACTGCTCTGAAAGAGAGGAGAGAATTGCAACACTTTCAAACATGCTTCAGAGCAACAACTTTCCTTTACTGTACAGTCATAATAGCAGGGATGGGCCTTCTAAGTGCCAGGAGCAAAGAGTGGGGGGAAAAAAGGGAGGTGGCCCCTTTCTAGGTGCTTGCAAACCTCAAGTTTTTCTGTTGCCTTTCTGTGCTTCACCCTCTCAGTGCTGC